AATTTGGATACAGATGATAAACCGGGGTCACATTGGGTAGCTTTATATATCGATACGAATGACGTCGGTCAATATTTTGATTCATATGGACGGGCACCTGTACGATATCATCTAGAGTTTTTAAAAAGGAATTGTAAAAGATGGAACTGGAATGTTGATAGGATTCAGAATGAGTGGACTTCAGTTTGTGGCGAATATTGCTTAATGTATTTGCTATATAAGTTTCAGGGATGTTCAATGCATAGTTTTACGAGTATATTAACAGGCAACACATTGTACAACGATATGTTAGTGGATGAGATGTTTCGCTCCTATTTTATAGATAATAAGTAATAAGATTTTGTATTTCGTAAATAAAAATTGTAACAAAATTAGGTAATGTATTTTATTGATGATTCACATTACCGTTGCAGTTAGGAACAAAGGAGTATAATAATATAACAGCACTGATAATCCGACGCACGAATAGACAATGACGGTATTCAATGAACAATAGATAAATAACAATGGGGCGCTAATGACGGTGGAGGCCCTCACCGGATATCAATTACATAAGAGTTAATTGATGGACCGGGACCTGCAAAAACGGACCGCAGATTCGTGATCAAAGCATGATTATGTTTATCTCAAAATCATCTGGTAGCATCAGCATCATATCAAACCCCCATTGTCATAACCCTTTCGCACCTGAGATTTTTGTTCCTTTGATTTGAAATGAAAACTATAATATTTTGGCAAAGAAGTGGTAATATTAATGTAAAAAATAGTAAAAAAAATCCAGCGTACACCAGAACTCGGGAAAGTCGATAGCACGATAGTGAGCTCTAGGGCTGACTTCTACCAACTCACGATCGTGCGTTTTTAAGTTTTGATGAGATTTTAATGCATTGATGGTGTCAGCTTACTTCAAAAAATATTTATAATGAAATAAAACGCATCTGGTTATTAGAAAAGACTTATTTAATTATTGCCAACATTACAGTTTAGGTACAAAATTTCAGTCTGTTGTTTTCATTGTAATAAAAATGCTCTTTCAGCAGACAACTTAGAAATTAAAAGAAAGGAAACAAAAATATTTTTACGAAATAAACAATGAGATAAACTCATGCTTCTTAGGAAACAAAAACTTAACAAAAAACATAAAACTTAATAAATCAACTCAAAAGCCTTTCTGGCTGTACAAAAATAACATAAAACTTAATACTTAGATAATCTTTTGAAATATCTTTCTAAATCACAGTCTTTACATAGGAAACGTTATCAAATAAGACTAGTTTCTTTGGTGATACAAAAAAAGCAGTCTTTATCACGACTCAAGCATAAGTAAATATCACATTTACGGCACCTAATTTTAGAGCGACATGAACAAATCTCTGAGCGACATTTGCGAGGAGCCTTCAAGTCGTTAAAAATAGGAAAGTGTTCGTAACCATCAAACCTCTTTCCCACAGACGGATGATTAGCGGGTTTGTATCTGCCCGAAGTTTGTGCCTGCGTTTCAAGTAATGAGGATGAATCGCGCCGATCTCTGTCAGGAGTGCAGATGTGTGTCTCAGCAACTTCAAATCTGAATGAAAGGAGATCTAATATTCGAATTTTAGGAATGCCTTTAGCCAATGAGTCAGATCTGTAGGGCCGCCAAGAATTTACCATTGCTAGGTCTATAAAGTGTAGTATGACCTTGAGAGTCCATTTACGGGTCTTCATGAATGTACGGGAGTATTCCATAGATTGGTCCAAAACATCCACCCCGCCCATGAAAGAGTCGTAGGATGTTACAATTTTGGAGCACCAACATCGACGTAGCATTTTTCTGTTATATTGTACCGCTTTACTATGTCGGTTGCCGTGCCCCCAGTACAATTTGATGCTGTCAATACCGCCTTGCTGTCCTTCCATTTTACCAAAACTACGTCGTTGATACCCTTTGTTCAATTTCTCCTCGTGTCATTTTTTTTGTCATCTTTAAACTTAAGCAGCTGTCGATCTAGTACCCGGTTAAGCATAATTGTCCCTGTGCCATGATAGTCGATTTTCGTTAATTCTTCCAACAGGGGAATCGTTTTAAAATATCGGTCAAAAAAAATGCAGCTCCCGCGTGGAACACTTTGACTCAAGCGAAGAACTATAGCCGGGCCAAGCCCCAAAGGATGCGAAAGAGCGGGATTATTGCCATAATAAATTTCAAAATCCACCATTAGCCCTTCACTAGTAGTAACCACGAAATTCTTAAGACCCACTGGGCGAGGCTTGTTCTTTACAAGCTGGCGAAGATGACACCTGCCAGTGAAAGGTATCATTTGTTCGTCAATCGAATACCTGCCCGGGGTCCTTAGAATTTTATTGCAGCCTTCTCTCACAATGTCGATCATCGGCTGAACCTTCCAGAGAGGATTATTTGCTTCCGAGACGGGTGGAGAGTCGGAATCCACTACGTGCAAACTGCTTCTTAAAGTTGTCAGTCTATCTCTTGTCATTGCAGAAACAATCATGTCAACTTTAATATTTCTTCGCCAGTACATTGCGATCCTGGGATGGGATGGGATGGGATGATAGTATACCCATCAGTAGATGGATACCAATCAGTTTTTTATTTCCGGTTTGGTTGTATTTAAAACTCGCCCAGTTTTTCTTAAATAGTATAAGTTTGTACACAATGCCATGCGCTCGTAAAAATTATCATTATAATAATCATTATAATATTCCACCGGCGATCTTATTTCATTTGGTTGTGGATGACGTGAGTAGTTATGTGATTTATCGATGTAATCAGTTTTCTTCCATAACCTTTTACGAGCAGGCAATTTCACTATAACAGCCTTTGATTTTTGTGTTACTTTTGAACAAGATGTTTGTTTTGACTTTTTAGAACAAGATGGGCCTGCTTCACTCTCATTCATGTTATCAGATGTAGACTTCCTTTTAGACACTTTACCTTTAATATTTTCCGATTTCACAGCTGCCGCAGATAAGCGAGGCGGAGAGGATAGCCCAACTTCACCTTCATCATTTTCCAGCTGCAGAGGAATAAACTCTTCATCGTCGTTGTCGAAGTCCAACTCGGAACAGTTACCATCCTTGAGGATGCCCAAGACGAGGTCATTGTTCAATGGCATGGCTGTAGTTAAAGAAATAAATCAAAAAATAACTTAAAAATGAATGAACTCACGATCATGCGTTGGTACAATTGCAACCCAGATATCACGACAGTGAGCTGACAATTTTGTCGTAAATTAAGTTAGTTATTACCAAAAAATATAGAAGAAAGTTATAGTCATTCAAATGAATCATATACTTAATGATGTAATACAATCATAATATCAATGATTTCTTACGAAATTTGCAAAAAAATAAATATAACTTACGGCGTCCAGTGACGGGGTCAAGAAACGCAGCCATCTTGTCGGTGCGCTCGCGGGTACTGATCGCGCTAGACGCCAAAAAAGGTTTCCTATTGGATAGATTGATGAGCGCACGACCATGCGATGTCGGTTTAACGCGGAGAAACGGATTTGGCGCGAACTTATAATTTTTCAAAGAAGAAACTCACGATCGTTTCATTCGGGTGCGAAAGGGATAAGAGGTAAGACTTTTCTTCTGTGCTTCACTTGAAATATTTTGCACACATAAAATATTTTGAATCAATCTCTGTATATTTTGGTTAGATCGATTTTGAAATCGATACACAACGTGCGACACGGCTACATCTCTAAGAAAGTTTCAAAAAGGAAGGTCAGCTACGCCGTTGTCGTCCAGTGGTGACAGTGACGTCATCACGATGAAGAGTAGTGTTGTGGTTTACTATTATTTTATTGTTATTGTTTGTTTTTATTTATGTACAAAGTACATATATAAAAAGAGTGGAAGGCAGCACAAGATTAAATAGAACATACCAGATTATAAAGAGTCATTTATTGCATAAAAAACCAACAAAATCAAGTTATTTTATCGATATATCAACTCTTGGCAACACTATTTTTTTGTAGGTATTTTTGTTCAATTTTCGCTTTGGCGTACAGGACACGGTAATGCGTTTTTGGCGTGGCGCTCAAAAGGTTAATAGAGAATATATCGAAAATGAAATAGGGCGTCTCCCTACTAGATTGTGTGACAACCTGGTAAGACATGCATACCTAGGGTATGTTCCAAAATACAACCCAGTACACTGGCAAATGCTAATGACGTCATTAATTGACGCCGTATTCCACCATATTCGATACAACGAATCACCAATATGGCGTCGATTTATGACGTCATTTGCATTGGCCAATGTACTGGGTTGTATTTAGTAACATACCCATTATAACAAAACCTGAAATGAGACTGGGCGCACTGGGTGCCATGACAGGTCACGATTTATTTAACAAGCCTCTCTCTGCTTTAGGTGTGCAAGCCTGCATGGGGCAATCAGCAACCCACATTTTATATGATCTACAGAACTAAGTACTTCAGATCGTTGAGGTCGCTCCTCGAGATCGTTGGTAATGTAAAAGAAATAATTAAGATTTCTCGAGGAGGTTAAGTGGCTTGAATAATATTTAATTCCTGCCCACACGGAAAATTCGGGCGTAGACGTGGATTAAATTATTTGATCGATTATGCCGGACTGGTGTCCCAGCCCGGCATAATCGAGTAATTAATTTAGTTTTAATTAAATTTTTTAGAAGAATATTAACAATGCTATAAACATTACTAATATTCCCCTTAACCACTCGTGGTAAGCTTAAATTGCTTGTGTTACGAGTGGTTCACGCCAGTAATCGAATGGCGGATTTGAACCCACGACCTTTTTGAGTTCGCAGTCCGCGCCCTGCCATTAGGCTAACAGTAGCCTGTCGCTTCAATCAATCAATGAAAGATTTCAATTTGGAAAGTTATAGGTAGGTATGGTGATAAGATAACGACGGGCTGTTTTCTGCAACTCCACGTGTAAGCGCGTGTTTTGCGTATGGACAGGAATAATGCAATAGGTACGGTGATAAGGATCGATAGAAACTTACGTAGGTTGAGTGTTGTATAAGTGGTGCGGCGGCGTGTTGGCGTAGTGCGCGGGCGCGGGCGAGTGCGGGTAGGCGGCGCGCGCGCTGCTCTGCAGGACCATCTGCAGGTGGCTGGGCGCGCTCAGGCTGGCGCTGGAGCACGCCACGCTCGCCGCGCCGCCCACCGCGCCCGCGGCGCTCGTCGCCGTCGGACCCGCCCCGCCGCCATTCACGTTACTGGCTCGACTACTGCAACCAAACATTTTTATTCATTATTGATACAAAAAAAATGTAAAGGAGCTCACATACTAAAAATTAACCTAGTACGACTTAACCTCAGGATTATCCAGTTCCACTTCTACTTAACCCATAGCACACGAGAAAAAGGTACACGACCCAGCCTCAACTACCTAAGACTCTCAAGATGAGCCTAACTGTAATATTTTTCAATGAAAGAATAATAATGTAAATTTATCATTTGTTTGGTTTAAAACTGGAACAATATAAATTATATATATTATTAACGTTGTTATAGGTATATTATCAGATTACTTATCTTTATTAGCCAAGAATATCCCCCACAAATTGTCTCATAGCTATATAGCTATGTAATAGCTCATAGCTATTTGTGATAGTTTGCCATGCTTGGTAAGCGAAGCTGGTTGGCAACCGAATTTTTTTTTAGATTTATTATCTTTTGATTTGTTTCCCTCTGTGGCCGACGACACCCACAGAACAATATGGGATAGTAGTTATTTTTACACCGACACGACATGGCACGCCAAAAACAATAAACAATAAAGTTTTTTTTTTAACTGTTGTGGTAATGCAACTTAAGATTTAACTTAAGTTTTAAGCCTATTCACTCTTGCTTTGTGAAAAGACTGCTAAATGCTATACCAAATTATTCTACTCCTTATTTTACTTTCTTCGAAACCGCATATCAGTAGCTGCGTTCAGAGTCTATGGAAACTATCTACACAAGACACAATTATAATGCATAAATACCGAAAGCACAGGTAGGTGCACGTTCCCTTACTCACATAATCCAATGGAATAGATATCTACTTTTACATTTTTTGCACAGGAGTAAACATCAACACCTCGGTCAGAAAATGTTGGATTGCTTCTAGGAATTTCTTGATAAAAAAAAAACAAATAAATGATGACAGTCAAAAAGTTTATAAATACCAAAGCGATCTAGACAGTTTGTTGCACCGCGCAACCAGTTCCTGAGATTAACTAACTGGACACTGTTGTCTTAAAAAGCACATGTCCATCCTGGGACTAAGCAACTCAAGGATGTGTCGGTTCTGTTCCATAACGGAAGAAACACCTCTACACATCCTAACCGATTGCGGACCCTTAATGCACAAACGTAACACTCATCTGGGAAACTATCTACTCCGCCCAGAAGAAGTGAAATTGCTCACGGCTAAGCAACTCCTTCTATTTATTGACGACATAGGGCTTAGCCGTGAACTATAGCCATACATAGCAGCTATCACAATAGATCTTTTAGGTCGCAGTGATACTGGTCTCTTTCCCTATACCTGCATAGCTGCTCGCACATAATAAAAAAAAATACACCGCGCAACGAGTTCCTAAGATTACGAACATGAATATTGATGTTGCATTATTCTATTTTAACATGCACTATTGTATACTACGTATGTATAATGTTAAAGTTAAGTTAATTATCTCTTAAACCTTATCCAATTGGAGACACTTTTAAGGTTATTTAGCTAAGGTCCTTTAACAACTTCACCATAATGACTATATTGTCGGTAGGTTATTCGCCATTGACGTTAGCTCGCTTAGCGACATTGAGCTTCCTTATATGACCAGCAGTAAAGGACCATGTCTTAGATTCCTATGTTATCACTTGCAAAATGCACTGATTATATCCTCGTGTTTTCCATGATGAACCTTGCCGAGCCGAGTTGGATACGTCGAATGACCTCTCGGTTCGAAGTTGGACTTACCTACTTAGTCAATTTGTATTAAGTAAACATACTTTTAAGTAACTTAGTACTTCCGACAACTACCGGCATATTTGTGACATGGAAATTACACGTTATCTTGCTCCTGTTCATGTTCGTTTTGAGCAGATCCGTAGTATAGAATAACATAATTTTTATTCAATATAGATATTACGTAATTCACTTTTTATTTACCACTGGTTCGGAAAATACCTCTGTCCTGTCCAGCGAGACTTTTCTCCTTTTTTTTAAACATATTTCACTTTACAATAATTTTGTTTGTACAAATTTTAAATGAGTTTTAATAGAACCAGCATAGTGGTCACCACCTCATTTCCAGGGGTATTTTTTATTTACGTATTTTTTGATATTATAATAATCATTTTTGTTCAATTTTTCTTTAATAAAACGTTTAAACTTGTTTATTAACAAATTTTGTACATTTCCAGGGATTTTGAAGTAAAAGCGTACTCCTTGCCCCATAAATGAATTACTAATTCTGTGAAGTCTAATAACTGGTACTACAAGCTTATGTTGTTCCTATTATTTAAAATATGAACATCTTTATTCTTATCAAAGCTATTTGTGGTTTTATGTAGATACATTTTCATAAATATATTTCGAAGCCAAAGTTAATATGTTTATTTCTTTAAATTTTTCTCTATGGGACACATTAAAATTTAAGTTATAAATCACCATCGTACGGCTCTTTTTTGCAAAACAAATATGGCGTCGAGGTCAGTCGTATTACCCATAACAAAATTCCATAAGACATTATGCTATGAAAATAACTAAATTAAATTAATCTTGCTGTCTCAACATTGGTGGGAATTGTAATCTTTCCTACAGCATATGCTGCAGAACTAAGTCTGCCTGCTAATTTAGACACATGGGAGCCCCATAGAAGCTTCGCGTCAATCGTAATACCAAGAAAAACAGTGGTATTCACAAGACTCAACTCTTCCCCATATAAGAGCACATTGGTATTTGTATGTTTAACATTAAGTATTGATAATTAATACATTTTGTATTATTGCCGTTTAAGAGGAGTATTACAAAAAAACGCGAAATTACAAGATCTCTTCATTGAAATTATATGTTTTCTGTTCGTTGCTTGAAATAACAATTACTTGGTAAAAATAGTTCGTTTTCTCTACTACAATAAGCTCAAGACAAATTTTAGATAACTTATTTAATTATTTAGTAATAATCATTTCCCGATGCATGTTTAGGCCGAAACTCTGAGAGACATGATTTGAGAGCTCTAATTTGTAATTTCTATTGAACATCGACAATCAAAAAAATATTTTTATCTCACAAATATCCTATACTTTAATAATGATAAAATACATTTTCATCATTATTAAATATATGCCTTTCACGTAAGGAAAAATAAATCGATATCGATAATTCAATTAACGACCGAAAAAGCTTCGATACAAGCCCCAATATCTCCGAAGTTCTACATCATTTTGACGTAAAATTTATACCACAATAATCATTAACATTCGCTTAAACTATAATAATACCTATGATTTTTATTTTCTTAAATCGTTACTATAATTTTTAATTAATTAAATGAAAGTACCATATATTTCGCTGCGCCGGACATCTGAATTCAATACCGCGCGAGCGCTTGTCGAGGATGGCCCCGCGTCACATTATAGTAGTGTGCGTCGATTACCGTTATAGGCGCTGCTATTTTGGCCTGTGTTCCGAAATAGAACTCAACTACGATCGCAGTTTTTAATCGTCAGAAGTATTTACTTTCGTACAGTATATTTCAATTAGTATAAAGGTCGCACATTATTATTGTACCAGACTCATTATAGTTATTTTGATTCTATTTGAGTTTTCTTACCAGTTGGGATCGTGAAAAAAATTGATACTTGTATTTAACAAGTATCAATAAAATTGTTAATTGATAGTTTTAGTGCTGACTTGTTAGGCATCCATTGTTGGACATAGAATTGGAAGTTTTTAAACCTATTATTAAAATATTATTATAATAATCAGATTTTGTAGCATATCTGATGAATCCACCATAAAAATATAAATAAAAGTCAGCTTAATCTCCTACTTTTTAAATCTGGTAATTAAACTTTACTTGTGAAATTGATACTAATAACAATTGTTTAAGTATAATGTAAAAATATAGGCGTTTTTAACTTTTACTTTACTTACTGTGGTGTCAGCATGTTTGATAATGTGGAATGATGATGCTGCTGTATTTGCGGTAACCTAGGGCGAGGCACCGGTTCGTAGCCACGAAGATTTGGTGTAGGGAAGGGCGTGGCTTGCTCTAGAAGTGCTACTAGTATTTGATTCTTCTGACGAAGTGGACGCATATTACTACTACTGGTGGCGGGACTAGCAGCCGTCGACGAAGGAGCCGAAGATGCTACTGGCACAGCACTAGAAGTGACCTAATGGAAGCGAAATTTATTAACATTATTTGATGTTGATAATGAAAACCGTGGTATGGAACATAAACAAATCAAGTTAAGTACCTGTTGATTTTCAGGTGTAGCTCTTTTCACATTAGTATTATGTGTCTTACTTTCCTCATACTTTCGCTTTATACCAATCCTTTCGAGGTAGTTATCACTGGCATCCTGAGAGCGACCATTGCCGGAAGGCCCATTGCTGGGAGAAAGCAACTGAGAGAGCAATGCACTTGGTTGCGAAGTACCACGAGTGCTATCGGAAGCATTTCTTCTATTTTCTTCATTATCTTCATCAGATTTTTCGTTTAGTATCTAGAATATACAAAAAAATATTGAAAATTATTACTCAGAGCAGACAATGTAAGCAGTAAATGTAAAGTATGGATTTTTTGGTAGAAAAATAAAATACTCAGAATAAATATAAGAATCCGTCTAAAAATTCATTTTGGATCCAGATTGCATAGACTTGACAGCTCTGTAGCGCATGGCTTAGCAATGTTACAGCGCGGCCATTAGGCCGCGGGTTCGAATCCTGCACGGAACAAGTATTTGTATGTCCTACAAGCAAATGTCCTTGTAAAATGTATGTTTGTAAACTGCCCCCATGATACAGGAGAAAATCCTAGTGAGGTAACGTTTTATAAGAGAAAGAAAAAAAAGAAAAAGAAAAGACTGGTGATGAAAAGCAGTGTCACAGAAAGGGTATCAATCTGCTCCACTTTGTATACCTCAGCAAAACATGCATAAAAGCTAGCGCATTCTTGGACAGATCCTTATCCAGCAGTAAACTTCTTTCTAAATGTTGATGATGATCATCATCATAATGATATTAACACAATATTATACAAAAACTGTCACAGTAATGATTTTATTAAGTAAAATTTTGATATAAAATACTTACCCTTAGTAATACCTCCGAATTATTATGATGCGTTTGCTGCATGTTGTGGGACGTAGTCTGGTGCTGGGGATGCTGGGCGTGCGACGTGTGCGATGTGTGCGACGTGAGCTGCACGTGCGAGGCGTGCGTAGTGTGTGTGGCGTGCGTGGCATGCGCCTGCAGCGGCGGCGGTCGCGCGTGCGCCTGCGCCGTGTGCAGCGGCGACAGCGCGGCGCCTGGCGTGTGCGGGGTGTGCGGCGTGTGCGGCGTGTGAGGCGTGTGCGGCGTGTGCGGTGCCGACGTCTCGCTGCTCGTCGCCTCCTCGTCGTCTTGATTTAACAGGTCCTTCAGGATACGATTGTTCGAATTTGTCACGGCGTCGGATACACTGACGGTCTTCTTACTGAGTAACGAGCGCAGACGATTGGGCTCCTCGGCTGGTGCTGACGAATGTGACCCTTCGTTGGATACCGAGGGCGTACGTGGTGTCAATGGAGTACCTGGATCTTCAATCGTTCCCTCTTTGTGCTCTTTCGAGTCTTCGCTGGACATTTCTCCCTTTGAAAATTCGGCACCCAGGGTTCGAGGTCGAAATAGTTGATAGAAAACTGCGCTTCAGTGGGACTAATAGAAGAGCGGTACCGGATTTCACAGCCGGAAGATTCCCCGTTAGCAACGGATGTCATCAGAGGGCCACCGACGGTCGGTCGCGTTCCAGGAACTTCTAGGAGGTCAACTTCGTCGTCACCGAGGATCGTATGCGTCGACATAATAAAGTCGGGTTCTCCAGGCTTTGCCGCAAAAAGACGCGATTGAGCACTGACTCTAAACCAAGGCTTGTTGGCCGCGATACGTAATCTAAAAGACTCACTCACTACTGGTGGGCCAGGGCGACACACGGCCTCTTGCAAATGTGCAGCTATACGAATACGATCACAATTTTCAACAAGTTCCAAATAACAAGTACCCACAAGAGACACGGGAGAGTTTAAACAGTTTTCCACTCCACTTAAATCGCAAGCTGCAATTGTAAAAAATAATAATATTAAGTCATATTTTAGTAGATTTGCACTAAAATAAATTAAAAGAAAAGTCAAACCACACATAAAATTGTATAGTTGCAGTCTAGAAATTGTAAACCAAAATATGAAATGGTATTTTAGTAGTTTTTGCAGTAAAATAAATTAAAGGAAATGTGAAAACGTACATAAAATAGTATAGTTGCAGTCTAATCTGAAGACAATGTTTTCGGAGTGTTTGGAAGTGATGGCGGGCGGGCCGCCGTCGACTGGAAGAAGTGCGGCCGACGCGTCCTCGCAGCGCCGGATGACGCACATGACGGAGCCGGCCTCCTCAGAGGACGAGCCGCGTACCGGCGCAGCGTGGATCACAGCATCCACCAGCCTGCCCATCACAACAGGAACACCATCACAATCACACTAATTATTATTACATTGTTTTTAATTTGCACTATAGCACTTCACATAGTTGTAGAATAAGAAGAAATAAAAATGAGAAAAAGCGATATCTAAAATGTATTAATTATTTAAATTTCTCAAAATTTTAAAATAGTAAAGAAAACAGCAATATAAATAATCGTTATAGTTATATTTTTACTAAAGGTGTTTGTTTTTTTGTTATATTCTAAATGCGACAATAACCATTTCATTAAAAAAAATACATCAATTATAACTATATGTATATACTCGGTGATTTTTTTTACTTATTTTTAATAGTACATATTTATTTATAGATCAATTTCATATTATGTCAACGTAAAAGAAAAAAATGTAAAATATAAGTGCCATAGACTTCTCTCCCGTTCACCCGTTTGTGTTTTGTACACCCTATTTTTTCCAGACATTAAAAAACCCACCAGTATATTATACATATTTTTTCAAAAATCAATTCTCATATTTTGACATCCTATATGGACAATGGACAATAAATCTTTTTGAGTATTAATAAAAAATCCTCAAATAAAACTGTTAATGCACCCCTGAAAGTTATTTTACATGCTTTATCTCATCTTGATGGCATTACTATAGATATATACAATATGTAACGTAATTAACGCACACCCTCAGACACCCCAATTAGTATATTATATTATAATCAAAATACATACACTGAATTTTTAGTTAAACATTTTTATGCACTGATTTTTTATCAAATTAGTTATACTAATTTCAGAAAAATGTTGTGGTCACAGTACAAATCCACGAATGCAAAGACTTTAACGTGCTTGAAATAAAGTTCATTTTTCTTTATTTTTATTGAATGACAGAATTAGTAATAGTACAAATAAAACTGCACTCTTAAAAGTCTTATTGCCTTAAGTTAAGGTCCATTTCATTTTGTTTTGACTGTACAGATTTAGTGTGAATATTCTAGAAATATTCAGAATATGCAGGAGGAGTTTTTAGCTTGCACGTGCTAAATCGACATAACAATACAAAATTACAATTACAAATTCAATTGTACCGATGGGAATCAAAAAGTTTATGCACTACGTACGAGTATATATAAAGTGTGTGTATATATATATATATATATATATATATATATATTAAATTCTGAATTATGACATGTTTCAGAATTTTTTTTTGATTAAAACTACTTTTACGGATTTTACCGCGTTTTATTTATATTAATTTTAATACACAACGTTTCGGGTGCTTTCCAGCACCCATGGTCACAGGGGACTGAGGTGACTGACGTCCCGATGTCAAAGTTAACCCGGAGTACCTTCAGCTTTTTAATTATTGTTTTTGGTCTGATCTACGCAGAATGAACTAACTGTATTTTGAAGTTGTGTTGGTTTTTATATAGCCCTGTATACAGTGTTTTTTAATTTCAATAGCAATAGGAATCGACCACAAATCCTCGCGAAAGAACATCGATTCCTACCAAGGATGATACGTGAGGCTATTGAAATTAAAAAACATCCTAATTTCAATAGAGAAGGAGGCTGGGTACTACCACCTGCTTGAGATCCTATAATTAATAAAATTAAAACTAAACCCAAGCATACCACTGCAAGACTTCAAAATACAGTTAGTTCATTCTGCGTAGATCGGACCAAAAACAATAATTAAAAAGCTGAAGGTGCTCTAGGTTAACTTTGACATTGGGACGACAGTCACCTCAGTCCCCGTGACCATGGGTGCTGGAAAGCACCCGAAAACGTCGGGTATTAAAATTAATATAAATAAAACGCGATAAAATCCGTAAAACTAGTTTTAATCAATGTATAGTGTTCGCGTAAATATAAGAATTCATTATAATTTTTTTTTAAATTCTGACCTGTAAGCTAAAGAAAGGGGTCTAAATGTATTTGTATCAGAAGAAAATGAATCAACTGAAAAGGTGAGTTGGATACATAGTGATCGATTATTTATAATGATAATTTAAGGTTTGCTTTTCTTTTAAATATTATTTGTGTCAATAATAAATAAAAAATACCCACCCAGCACCGTCACTACCATTAGGATTCTTGATAAGCAGACGAACTTGTACGGCCTGAAACTTATCGATGTCCCCTGAGCTCCAGGAAAAAGCTTGCGCATTCCTTATTATAGGTTTCAATTTTGCGTGATCACTGGTATGCAAAAATGAAAAGATTGATTTCTTGTACAGCTCTGTTCTATCGACAAGAATGAGGTCTTTTATGTTTTCTGTTACACACTCAATTTCACCTTTGGAATTTATTTCCAACAGAACCCAGCCCAGACTACTTGTGTAATGTTTGAGGGCCTGAAAATAAATAATTATGTATGTATATTTTACAAACAGCTGTCATAATTAATTTTATAGCTCACTTTTAAAAAACATAATTCCACAATTCCTTATTGTATTATTAACCAAACCTCAATGAGTGAAGTGAGCGCAGAAAACTGGAAACCAGCGGTCGGTGGCTGTGGTTGTGTGGAGCTGACTTCCCCAGCTTGTACCGGCGAGAAGCATTGAACTAAACGCAGGGGACATTCGCCGGGACAGTCGCGCCGCCGTTTCAGAATATCCTGGATTCGACGAGTGGCCTCTCGAACAATGCCGTTTTTGTCTGGCTGCTTTACCTCAGCTAGACAAGTCCCCAAAAGCTCTTCGAGCTGATTTATGGTCTCGTTTTCCAACTCCCGCCGCTTTTTTTCGTTGTGACACTTGTTTCTGGAAAGTAAGATAAAATTCATCAATAAGGTTAGATCGGTGCTATTTCTATTAAAGTATTGTATTCCTAAACTTAACAATCTCAATTAAATCCCAATAGTACAGGCCTCTCATTATACTAACTATTGCAACCACTGCGCAACCCATTTAATTGTACAACATAGTACCGAGGTGAGAATTTATAAATAAAAGTCGGGCTGGATTTCTTGCTGGTTCTTCCCAGGGGACGAAGGTTGCTGAACCGAATTTATTTTATGAAATTATTATTAATTTCCTAGTTATGCAGTTTTCTATTCGATATTTTCCTATATCACTGAGCATATCGTAAATTTATTTTAAAATTAGCACTTATAACTGTAGTTAAAAACCAAATTAAACACAATTCTCGCGTACTACGAAACTAACGCGAGACTTATATATCGACAGCTCCTGTTGTAATCCTAAAATGAAGTTATTATTATAGAAATATAATAATAAATATAATATATTATATAAGAAATTAAGTTATTATTATATTATATAATTATATATATCCCAATGGGCAGGCAGGTTGGCGAGAGCAGAGCCGTGTAAATGCGCTCCCCCTTATAACTTGTACATGATGAGGCTTTGGCTTTAATTGGCGTTATTACTCCATCTCAGGAATGAGAGGAAGCCTGTGACTAGCTGTGAGACGTACATACGCTGTAACTTTAATTAGCAGGAAAGACTGCGTGCAGGTAAAGTGCGCAGATATGTATAGAAGAATTGTTACATCCTCCTTTCACTTTCACTGTCCGATTTTCAGACACAATTGTAAAACTATAGCAATGAACTATATAATATAGTACACGGGACAGTGAATGGGTATACAGGATATTTGTTTAGAATAAGTTTATATATAAATAACGTATATGTAAGATTTCAAAACAAAAATAGGTATGATAAAAATATATCGAACAATTGTGTGTGAGGCTTACTTTTGCAATTTGTACCCGTCTTAATAATTGATCGCATTAGAATTGTGCAATCCTGATCAATTATACATGAAAAAGTGTATACTTAGATATCTTTTGAATTTATAGTTTAATCATTTTACTTTTATAATTAATTTTATATTGTTCTTACAATACCTCGTCGATTGCCAACAACTATATCAAAATCGGTTGATCCGTTCGAAAAGTATCGTAATCAAAAACTTTCAAAGGGGTTTTTTTTAATTACTTCGAAACTTCTGCTCGGATCTTTTATGATGCAATGAATTAACTATTAGTTCATAAAAATATTTGTCGAGCGATATGAGATCGAACAAAGCGGAAAGTTCGATGAAAGAAGTGGTACACTGTTCTAATTTATTAAACATAAATGTATGATTTTACGAATAAACTAAACTACGTAGTACTATTATTTATTCTGTGACTAAACACAAATAAAATTTCACATTTCAAATACCAAGCTACAGCAATATTATTAATTTGTCATTAGCTCCAATTAATTTTTACATAACGTACATATCGTTTTGTTCTCCTTGGTTAGAAAAAGTTAATGTTATTTATCGAGAAATCGCAACACTCGCCTATCTTGCCTAGTAAAATCGATTTTTCATTTGATATTTGATATTTATTCGAAGATAGTTGGCATATACTATAATATGGAAACACGTAATGAAGGCGTCGTTGAAAATTCCAGCTTAGGTTGGTAATTTTGTATTTATACTAATATCACTATATCGATCTTACACTTTTTCTAGCGACATGACGAGCGTCAATTTAAATTTAATTGAAGCAGAATAACAGCCGTAGGGTTGGTTACAAAATGTTAGGCAACATCGTCTTACTCGTAGATTAGATAAGGAAAACGGAGAGGACAATATTTTTTATAGCGGCTCAAACTTGTCAGAGAACATCATAAAGGCATCATTGCGTAAATCGGTTTTTTTATTGAGGCGGAGCGCGACGTAACCCTTTTCTTTTCTCCATGAATTCATACACATTAAGATTTTCATATAAACACAAAATTTTATGTATATGTAAACAAATACACAAGTGTCATCTAAATCCTAAATGGTATAACACTTGGCATAATTTTTATTCGTACGTTTTGTTTTTACGCATGTTACGCGATATCTTCGCCGATTGTGAACAGATTTAAAGATTCTTTTATTTTTATTAAACTAAGTATAATCAGTATAGTATAGTTGGAGACTGCGTGAACCGTTTAAACGCCCTGGGATGTCACAACAGGGTCGTTTTAAGATGGGTTCCGGGTCACGAGGGTATTGTAGGCAACGAATTTGCAGACAAACTTGCACGGAAGGGCTCAAAGTGCACACAATTTGGACCTGAGCCATTTTGTGGAATCTCAAGAAGCCTAACCCGATTGACCATTGAAACTCTTTATCACAATAAATTACTTAAGATCTGGGCTGACACACCAGGCTTAAAACATTCTAAAACCTTAATCCGGGCTTTTGATCGTAAATTCGCTTCAGAAGCCAAGCCCTAACTGGACACTGTTGTCGTAAAAAGCACATGTCCGACCTGGGACTAAGCAACTCAAGGATTTTCGGTTCTGTTCCATAACGGAAGAAACACCTCTACACATTCTAACCGATTGCGGACCCTTAATGCGCAAACGTAACACTCATCTGGGAAACTATGTACTCCGCCCAGAAGAAGTGAAATTGCTCACGGCTAAGCAACTCCTTCTATTCATTGAAGACATAGGGCTTAACCGTAAACTATAGCCATAGCAGCGATCACAATAGATCTTATAGGTCGCAGTGATACTGGTATCTTTACCAGGACCTGCATAGCTGCTCGCATATAATAAAAAAAAATTGATACAAATGATGATATGGAGAAAAAACTGCACCCCTAAGGATGACAAATTAATTAAGTAAAATTAAGTAACGATTGAACATTCTAATGAAAAGTTGAGTTCGGAATATGAAATTATTTCATTTTTTAGTTTTTTGAAACCAAAATAATATAAACTTAGGTTAATATAATCACACGATTGGCATAATATGATTCCTAGTTACAGTGTAAACTGTGTAAACGAATTATTAGTTAAGATAATCTTAATATATATAAATTAGGTGTCACGTTGTTTGTCCGCGATGGACTCACTAAACTACTTAACCGATTTTAATCAAATTTGCACACCGTCTGCAGTTTGGTCCAACTTGAGAAATAGGATAGTTTTTTGCCCATGAGTGACCCACAATTTTTTTGCGAATTCAAGGATTTTTAATAGGACATGACAAAGGGTGGTCGAAAAGGGCAGAACAACGTCTGCCGGGCAAGCTAGTCTAATATATAAAAAATAATATTTGTTTGATCGTATTTTATGCGCTGTCATACCGTTCATCAGATTGCGGTAAACTTTGTCAACATATTGCTTGCACTTTCATGAAGGTAATAATATGGTTAGATGGATTAGGCAAGTGGCGCTGTTGTAGAATCCAGATATCACCGTGCGAAGCCGGGGCAAATCGCTAGTTCAACATAAAATACATCTTTACCTTGACAGATTCAAGAAATAAAAAGGAACAAGACTAGTTAACTTTTAATATAAAGAACTACCTATCTAAATTACCAGAATTTTTTTTTTTTTCAAAAGAATACTATGAAAACTACTTATAATCCCTTTTGTTTTATTTCAGGAGTAGTTCTAGTCAGATAGCGAACCGAATTTACTACTTTTTAGTGTCGACGCCCGTAATCTTAATTCAAAACCAATAAGGTTACTGTTGCTTTTTTATTGATATCATTATTAATCACAAGATATGAAATTACCAACCAAAAAATGGTCGATAAGGGGTAATCTATACTTAATATTATAAACAGCAAAAATTTGTTTGTATGTAGGGGGTAATCTCAGGCACTACCGAAATGATTCTGAAAATTATTTTAATAATAAAAGGGTACATTATCCTTAACTAACAAAGACTATACCTAATTTAATATGATAAAATTACGTTTTCAGTTCGAACTCTCAATATTTTTTATTAATTCGGTAGAAAAAGTACTGATTGGCTGCTTTAGCATTCCAACTATTTATTCAACGCATGCTTTTTAGCATGCGCTGAATAACTAGTTGCAATGTAGCGCTAAATATGAGAATAACACTTAATAAAAAATCAACAAAAAACCCTAAAAGAATCAAATATTTTTTAAATAACAGCTTCTAAATCATCTACTTTCTGTGATGATAGTGATATTAGTCTAGTTGGCTTTTGCAGCTTCATCGGACTCATGCCTTTCAGGCCGCGAGCTATAAGAGTGGCTGATTATGATGAATGTACAACTTAGAGGCTGTATAAAAATTATCGATGGGCGCGTGCGCAAAGGCTACGGTAGCGTAGGACCATGATAGGACTCTTACGGCACGTTTTGTAAAAATAGAGCTGGATTTACCCTTGTTGTTTTAAGTAGCCGATGGAGGCAGCTGGAAACTTTTTGGAATTTAGATTGGATGTGGATATTGTGAATGAGTTTTGCGAAGGTCATACCGTGGTCGAATGTGACCCCTAGGTATTAGGCCGTCGTTTTCCAGGGGATCATACGGCTGAATAGGGTGATCGTACCTAACGATTTTTTTTGAAATTAGGCCCCGACGATTGAGAGGGGGTTCCTTTGAAAGTATATTACTACACTTTTCTCAGGATTCACTTCGATTCCCCATAAGCAAAACCAATCGCCTAAGCAATCGGCGGCTCTTTGGAGCATCTTAGAAAAAAAATTCTTATTGTAATAGTGGGCGACAAAGAGTGCCGTGTCGTCGACGAAAAGAGCAGTAGTGACTAATGGTTCTTTCGGGATGTCACTCATGTAGTGAGTGAAGAGGAGTGCGAAAAGGACGGATCCCTGTGGGTTTCCAGTCCTAGAGATTCTTCGAAGAGCAAGTTCCCTCTACTCGATAACTAGATCGAGAGAAGAGCGTTAAAAATCCCTACTAGGAAGTAAGCAAGGGGCGCAGGGTGATTTCAGCACAGTGACACTGTAGGTCAGCGGATT